CTCTCCCTTTCCACCGGTGACTCCATCTCAGAGGACCTTTCTATGTGTTGTTTGTACAGTTGTATAATAGTAACTGTTTGTTTGCAAATGACTTAAATTCCAGCTTAGCAGTGAGAGAGAGAGACGTTTCCAGGCACCCAAAAGGACAAATCATGCTACCAGACAGCAAAAGAGCAAATGCTAGATTTCCTACTATAACTCACAAAAACACATTTAACTTTGCAAGTCACATGTTTTTTCTAAAAGCTTTTTTCTAAAAATAAAAAATAAAAAATTCTAACCGCTGAACCATTAACTATTGTCACAGGAACAGAAAAATCTCTTTTTTTTTCTTTCTGACCTCTGCCTCATAAAGTAACATCACACTAGGGTCCATTATAATGAGAATCCAATACAAGCATTCACACATTTTCTGTTCTGTTTCCCCAGGGCACAGGTGATCCAAAAAGAATAAATTGAATTTTTAACAAAACTGAATCTGCTCTTTTTCTTGTAACAAAGCAGTGAAGAATCACTTCACTGGGTGGGTGGGGGTTATGTATAGCTCTTCAGCTGCTGAATGCTTCATTATAATGCCCAGTTGGTCACTAATTGTATCTGTCTGCTATCTGGTGCTGAGCAGGCATTGCTCTCAGTTCATTTTAACCTTTTTCACAGACAGCCAGATGAAGGGGCAGGTAGCTAAACCAGTGAGCTGAGATGAAACTCACCATAAAAGTCCCTCATGCTGAGATGAGCTCCTTAGTTCTCTAAGAGCGACCCCTTTCTGTCTGCTGTTGTGCATTGTCATATTGTTTTCATATTGTCATTATAAAAATATTGACTACAACCACTTACACACAGACTGACTGATGCAAAAACAATAGTTGTAATGTTAACGCATGTATTCAATTCAGAAGGAATGATGTTTGTCATCACATATAGTCCATGCAGTAGTGTTCTTAATGTCTAATACCATATCAACATATTTAGACACAACATAATAATTTAGATCAATGCATAATAAATAGGCAAGTAAGGGTGTGGGATGGGGAGAGAGGCTGTTGAGCTGAGGAGGTCATCTCTAGCTGGTCTTTGAAAGTCAGAGTTCTGATTCCAAATCTACGTACAATAAATACACATAGTCACTCAAAATAACACATAAAAGCAGTCTATGAGCCATGATAAATAAGAAGTATCCTGCAGACGTCTCGATGTTACAGTCACTACCGATAGCAGGGAAAGTCTGCCCGACCTCACCGTGTGCTGCTGTCACTCACTATTTAGTCACAATTTCTTACAACAGTCAAGTGTAGCAAAGACATACTTCACTGCTACCTTGGAGATAAAAGTTGTGTCTATTTTTGTATTTTATTAAATTTATTTATGTTTTTTGCATTTGATGCCGCCAGAAGCAGCTGTAGTTGTAGATAAAGTAGGGAGCACATTCTTAACAGGCTGCTCACTCCTGCAGACCTCAGTCAGTTTCTGAACCACTTTTGGTGCAACACCATAAACACAGTGACAAAAGTACATCTGTATTGTCATTTTTGAAAATAAATTCTTCATAAAGTTATTGTAAATGAATTATTATTACATAGGGAAAACCCAACAAATCCCCCTTGAGCAAGCACTTGGCGACAGTGGGGAGGAAAAACTCCCTTTAATGGAAGAAACCTCCGACAGACCCCGGCTCTTGGTGGGCGGCCTTCTGCCTCGACCGGTTGGGGTGAGTGGATAGAGGAGAGGCAAAAGAGGTTTAGTGGAGATAAACAAAATATAACTAGGCACATGTTAGACAATTAGATTTCAGTGGGTCTGGGAACCCTGTACTGTACTGTTGCACCAAATATGAGCTACTGCCGGTCACCAGGCTTGCAAGAAATTGTTGGACACATCGATTTGCACCTTGGCCTGGAGTTTAGATTTGTATTTGTCACAACCAGTGAGCCTACCCAGAGTGACAAAAGACCACTGACGACAGGAGGCAAATGGACTATGGGAGCTTTTGCTATCATACTCTGATGCCAGCGGTGATCACAGTGGGCAAAGTGTCATTGTGGTCCCACAATGACATGAGATGAGGCTCATTACAGCCAAATGCATCAGGGTGATAGTGTGAGCTACACAGCTTTAATGCTACCATCCTATTTCAAATGGCTATTTTCTCCAAGGGAGACTCCTCATTGAATAATGTTCACACACATTAAAATACACAGACAGTTGCACATACAAGACCCACACACATGCAGTTTAAAAGTGAAAAACAATGTTGTCTTGCCGTAAAAGGGACATGGAATGTCTCTAATTGTACGGAGCAGAAGGACTCTGTGAATCACACTTGGCTTGGTGAATGGCATTCACATGGCAATAATGAAAAAGCAAACTGAGACAAGCTTTATCACACCCTGATCTCTACAGACATTCACAGACACACATACAAAGAAGAGAAGGTCCAGCAAGTGGGAAACACGCTGTAGTAGGTGAGCAAAGATTAACACTACAAAATAAATACAAGAATTTGATATACGTATGACCACAGGGATTCAAAAACTCAGATCCAAACCAAATTTGGAAAATAAGAAAAATAAGGTTATTATATAAACAACATTGACCATAAAGTGTACATCCAGCCTGAAGTATTTTGTTTTGAATCACAGGATACAAATTTCTGACTAATTTATTTATTTATTCATCCAGCCAGCCATTCATTCATTCATTTTTTATTTTTGTCTTGCAGGTAACAAAATGCAATGAAAGGAAGAGATTCACATCCCTACAGTAACGTATCAATTTCCACTGTGGATTTAAAGAGCAAAACTTAAATTGGCAGAGTTGAATTCTCTTAAAGCTCTTCATCCTAACTCTCCCCATGTCTGTGCTGGCCTCAAATTCTCCCTGGCATTCACTCATTCGGCACTGTCCCTCAGTACTGGATTCTCAAAGCTTCTGTGAAGTAATTCTCCATCTCTCACACATATCCTCTTTCACTTTCTAGACACACACACTCATAGCTGGCCATTGCAAATTACAAATGATCCAAAGTGTCTGATGATATGAAACTAGCAGTGTTGTTGTGACAGTATCACTCTGTGGTTTTATATCCAAGCAACACAAATCACTAAGGACCAAGCTTAGCTTCTCTTTCTGTACACTGACACACACACAAACATAAATGCAGCTAAAGACTCAGACAGAAGTGCACACACTTATTGCATTGCTATATAACATAATCAATTTTTAAAAATCCACATATTTTACAAAGTCTCTAAACAAATCTGTGACACAAATGGCTGCTAGCCCACTGCCTCACAGTAAATATTGCTTAAAGACATTTCCCCTGAGATCAGAATATGTGCACAATACAAAATAACGGTGGTTATTGGGGCACAACTAAAAAAATCAGAAATGGGTCTCAAATCTCCAGCCGTGCATATCTCCGTCTCCCACAGTTCTCCCAGCTCAGACATCACTGCCAAGTATCACACCACAGATTGGCTAAGTATGATAGTCCATGAGCTTGCAGCCAGCTTTAGCTATTCAGACCTTGATCCATAAACATCAGGGAAGTTCTACATTTCACAAATAGAGTGGATGGGACCCTAGATCCATGTCACAAGTTTCATCACTGCTATGATGACCATGGAGGAATTTTCCCACCAGCCTCAAAAGATGCTGCCAGAAGACACAGTGCACATCAATTCTGAATCACTACAAGCACCCTAACACCTCGAAGTAGGTGCAGGAGACAAGCACAGCAGGTAGGAATGGAGTGAAATAGCTAAAAAGAAGACTGCAAGATCCAGTGGTGTCTGACTGGATGTGTGCAACCAGTTATCAGCAATTCTCAGTAATTTTTTTGACAGCAAACATTAAAATATAATTGACCAACTACTGACAACTGTACTGAGCATTCCAGTGCTTATGATTTGTGCTCTGCCATATATTTTGCAAGTGCAGTCTGTCAGTTGATCGAACTACTATTAAATCTGATTTGTGCAAAGCAGCTTCACTGGAGAAATTAGCCAAAGTCTTTTAAACGTCCCAGCTGTCAGTTGCTTTGATGATGATCAGTTGATGTGACATACTTTAATAACTCTTACCAGCAGGTAATGTTTATTTGTCTATAATAATCCTCAACACTGTGGCGCACCATCTTTCATTTACAGTACAGAAGTTTTATAAACACTGTGACAGCTGAATTTTAGCAGATCCCCAGGAGTCTATAAAGATGCTAATTTCTAAACAACCCAATCACTGTTCATTATCTGCTGAATTATAAAGCCATAAAACTGACAGTTATCTTTCAAAACATGACTAATTTGCAAGTGTATTTGCATTTTTCCCCAGGGCCATCTCATCTATTCAAAAGGTAATTTCACAGGTTGAAATCCTATCATGTGCTGCAGTTGTGGCGTATTTCCATTTAATATCGACTGAATGATGAGGATTTTTGCTGGACGGGCCTTTGGTCAGTGTATTCATAGGCACCATAAATACCAGTACTCTTTGGTAGATAGGTGTGTGGTATGTCGTGGTGCTCCACTGGGTGACAAGCATCAATTACCTAGCATTACATCAAAAATTATTAAATGAGAAAAGAGAAAAGCTTTAAATCTAAATGGTAATTAATCTAATATGTAGCTAAATGTACAATACAGACATGTATAAAGCAAACTCTTGTATAAATATAATATTCTATTCAGACTACGGTGCCTGGTTTCCAAGGTAACAGGTGATAGAAGACTGCACAGTAGCAAAAACAGCGTCTTTCTTTGGATAATGCTAGATGCCCTTTATCTTTATCACTCCTTAACTGCTAGTAAGACCTGCTCAGCATTTTTATGTTTAGTCTTCCAAATTCTTCTACCTCATTTACCTCCTAATCTGCCCATCGCTGCTTAACCCCCTCCCAGGCAAAGCGATACTTTCCTGTCCCATTTCTCTCCCAGGACCCAGGCCATTGATTAATCTTTGGTGGAACATGTAGAGAGGGCCCATGTATCCCTGACACATCTTACCGGTGGCTGAGAGTTGAGCCCCCCCCTCTTGGTGGACCCCCCTCTGGAGCTGAGTCTCTTCCATGACTCTGAGAAACGCCCCCTGGTGGTGGGACGTCCTGGCCCGGATGTCCCAGATGCAACAGATGAATCATCCCGGGTGGAGAATGGCCGCTCCCTTCGCAACTCCCTGCGTTCGGCCCACTTCTTTTTGGAAGCCATTGGTGTTAAAAATCTGGTCGAAGAGACGTGGGAAGCACGTTGAGTTGAGGAGGCTCTTCTTCGATCAAACTAGTGCCACAGGTGGCATCTTCACTTCATTCTTAACTCTGTTGCCTACTAACCTAGCCTGATTCGTTCAGTCTCCCCTGTTTCTGTAAGTCTTCTTTGTCAGATTGAAAGATTGCGCAAGAGAAATTTTCCACTCCCTTTGCCCTTTTTCCTTTTAATTTTTCCCTTCTTGATCTCTTGATCAAAAGGAGAGGGATAGCAGATCTCCACCTGCTCTGCTGCACTCCTATGCTCTTCTTTTCTTCCCTGCAGCCTTCCTCTAGGCAGAATGAGAGTCAAAGTGGAGAGGTGACAAAGCAGAGGGTGATGTCTGCTCCCTGTTGCATGTGCTGTTACTGTGGCTTGGCCGTTGATGCTGTTTTCCCTCCTTGCAGCGAGAGAGAGAGAGAGAGTGAAAGAGAGAGAGAGAGAAAGAGAGAAACAGGGAAACAAGGCAAGGGAACGTGAGAGAGAGGAATAGAGGGGGAGGAGGGGGTTGGAGGGTATGATTTTCAGACCCAGGTGAGAGGGGCTTCAAGACAGACACTAAATAAACCACAAACCAGGGAAAAAAGCAAATGACAGCGAGGCAGGTGGAGAAAGGAAAAAAGAAAATGGTACCAGGCAAAGAAAACAATGAGGCAAGGCAAGAGTCTCTGGAGTGCAGGGTTCCTGTAGCGCAGAGATGCTTTAAGCTGACTGAGAGGCACAGAGACAGAAACCGTGTTCAGTAAGTCACTCTCTCACTGCTAACAGCTTCTAAACCTCCATCTCCTCCCTCTCCTCGTCCTCTTGCTCCCTGAGCTTTCATTCACAATCTCACCCTCCTCGTCTTTCATGTGCAGGGGACGTGTCTCCCCCTCTTGTTCTTCTTTATCTTCTTCCTCTTTGATGTACATGGTTTGCAGTTCATGAGTTAATCCACCTGAGCCTCAGTCTCTGTTGCAATTGAAGAGTAAACGTCAGTACCAATTAAAAACTGGCAGGTATGATGTTCTCTGCCTTCCCGGTCTTGATCTTCTTCCACTGTTTTATTTCTTACTCAAAGATGTGTTAAATGGCATGCCATGCTGTGGAGTTGACAGAAGGTAAGAATTTGATTGCTTTCTTCAGGAAAATGAGCAAAATGTTTGTGTTATAATGCTTCAGCTCCTGTATATGAGAGTTGAAATTGTTCCTAATTCTACAATGGCCAAAACAGAAAATAATTCAGCAACAAGAAAACAAGATGAGAGAGACAGAGTGGAAGACTAGCAACGACAGAACAAATGAGATAGCAGGACAGAGTGGGAGACACAATAAGGAGAGGTGACAATGTCTGGCCACCAGGGACATTCTTGTCATCGCTCCCAGCAACCACAACCACCTGGGAACACACTCCTCTGTGTATTTGTGTGTGTGTGTGTGTGTATGTGTGTGAGATGACACAGCAAGAGAATGAGTGAGCAAAAGAGAGACAGAGAAAGTAAAAAAGAAAGACAGAAATTCCCTGATGCAGGAGGTTAGAGTGAAGAAATGGCAGAGGGAGAGCAGGAGAAGGAGGAAGATGGAGAGACAGCAGGAGTAAAAATGCCTAATCACAAGTTCTGATTAAACTGAACAACATTACAGTCAGCCCTCATGGGAATGGCAAAGTGTTTCCTTATGTCATAAAATGCTTTGAAATTAATCTGTTGCAATAATGATTGATTCTAAGCATGAACAGAATCCTGCCACAAAACACAAACTGAATGGACACTGGAGCTGAAACTATAAGTCAGCAGATTATCATTTGATGTGTTAACTGCATAGACTGTATGGAAAGATGGACAACATGGCATCTGTCATCCAAGATGTGAAGCCACCACAAACCGACTGCCACCTCTATTGTTTACAGTATTAATTGTAAATTAGTTTGACAGTGAAACTATAGCAATAGACATACTCATACTGCTAGAGACACAGGCAATGGAAAGATTATTCAATTTCAATAACACCACTTCAGGGCTAGCTCCAGAACACAAAAACCAAATGGCATGCCAAACTCATATTCACAAGTTATTACTGACAACTTACTGGGTTCATGAGAAAAACGGAAATGGGGCAAAAAAGTTTGAGAAACCATGTGACAGAGAGAGAAACAACATAAACTCTGTAAAACAGGGGAACTAAAAGCTGTAAATGTCACCTTAGACACTCTAACACTCTAAGAAGATCTGACTTTGTGTATTTCAGGTTCAGACTCATTTGGTGTGTACCGGCTGGCATTTGGCTCCCTCTTGTCCCCCAGTAACGTCCCCTGTCTTTAACATCAAAGATCCACCTACACAGGGTTGCATAGTTGCCATGGTTACTAACCCACAAACTTAGAGGTTACATCATCACTGTAATCCATCCTTCTATCATCACAAGCACTCATGTGTAATTTTACACAGTTACATCAATGAAAATATTCCTTCCCCACATCAGTAGCAGACCCACAACCAATCACCTGCAAAAATGTATACGTGCGCATACATATATAGTGCAAACCGATGTGCAGCCATCGTATGGGATCTGATCTCCAGATTTTATAAGAAATAATCAAATTTAATATGTGTAAAATTATTATTTTACAAGAAATAATAAAATTGATAGGACAGTGTCATCATGTTCAGTTTCAGCTAATGTCGACAGTGTACTGACACCAACACCAGATACATAATTATCTTAAAAACACCTACAGAGTTGCCTGCCTGATCAAAATATGCCCTTTAACTCCAGGTCATTTCATTAAACAAGTAACTCTTTTTGAAAAAAAATTTTAATTGGATGTTTGTGAGGAGAGGGATATTTTTTCTGAGGTTGCAGAAAGTGTCGAGCTCAAACTTTTATAAATTACAGGGGAAAAAAATGAGAGAAAAGAGCAAAACATGCCCCCATGAAAGCAACTGCTATTAGTGGAGAAAATAACAAAATACTTGAGAAAATTACCAGTTAGTCTTTAATCTGCAAAACAAATACTCGTTGTCAGACTTGATTAACATGATATTACTCTCAGGCCTCAAGGTTAGACACTACAGAAGTGGTTTTTAGTGTTATCTGAATCATAGCGGCACAGATGCTTTTGAAATGATTAGAGTTCAAGTTCTTGTTTAATCGTTTGATATCCATCAAACCTTTGAGCCACATACATATCTTTATTATAGTTGAAGTAGGTTTTAAACATTTCCTACACATTTTATTTTTTAAGTGTTTAATGTTAATTACACAGAGACAGCTATGAAAGCTTTTGGACTACTTTAACTCACTTGGTATCTGTTTAAACTCTGTTTATCCAGAATTCAACAGCCAGATTATCACACAACTCCAATTTTAGCATCGCTGCACTGGTGGTCCATTAATTTAAAAAATATTACCTACTCTAATATTTTACCTACATGATAATCTGTGGTCTGATAATATTAGAGAACTCTTAACCCCTTACTGTCCAACCAGGGATCTTATATCAGCTGAACAAAACTTTTAATTGCTCCACGGACCAGACTGACAACCAAAGGTCACCGTGTGTTTTGGATGATGACCTTTTAGCTTTGGAACTGCCTTCCTCTCAGGCTGAGATCATAAATTTTCAGTGCAGCTTTTAAATATCGGTTTATATTATTGTCTTTTACTCCATTTAATTTCATTGCCATAGCAATTTCAATTGTGCTTTATTTTGTGTCTGTTTGAATGAATTTTATCATTATTATTATTATTAGTATTAATAAATGTGAGCATCTGAAATAGTCACACAGAAAATCTTCACCACAGTATTTTCCATTGACTAAATAAAGGCACTAAATAAAGTGCCCAACTTTGACTGCACATGAATATCACAGATAGAAATCTTTGCTCTCTAAAATGTTAACAAAAATGTGAACTGCTGTGGCTTTAAAGTAAAATGATAAAAAAAATGATTTAATATTTCCAGACTCAAAGCCTGACAGCAGAGTGTTTCTGAATGTAATGTATAAAATCTGAAGTTAGGTCTTTTAGCTTTCATGTGTCGCTGACCTCAGTATGCACTTACACTTATACTCAGAATTCAAGAGTAACATTATCCTAAGAAGTGGAAAAACCTACAGCGTTATAAATGTTTTTTCCCTTTGGAATGTTGGTAATTAATTCCAAGACTCCTGCTGA